CACCCATCCGGAACGGACCCATCAAACGTGGGAAAGTCAAGCTTTCGGAATTTCCAACGGTTGTCACGGTTGTGGGTGTAGGGAGGCTCGTCGGTGTAGCCGTTGTGGGGTGGGTTGTGAGGCGGTTGGAACCCTGTACCAGTTCCCAAGTCCCGATTCTCAGTCCATTCAGCCCTCCGACGCCTATTGGTGGTTCATTATAGCCACCGCTAACGTTCGGCGAGCCGTTGCACCCACCTAGGTTTTGTGGTTGCTCCACTTCCTCGTTCATACCAGCGTTCTGGATTGGTTGCTTGCCAAGGGCCTTGAGGGCGCCTCGGATCTCGTCAAGGACCTTGTCCTGCCTACTCGTCGTCAAGCTAATCTGTTGAGTGATGTCTTGCCGGAAGCGGTCTACCCTGCCGTCCATTGTTTGCCTTACTTTATCAATAGCGTCCTCCTGCTGCTTCTTCAAGGTGTGTTGCAAGGAATTCTCCCCGTCACCAAGCTTTTCGAACATTTCCTCCACCTTCTCTTCCAGTGCCGCCATTCTCTGTCAACGGAGTGGGCGGCATGGTTGCTCTGATACCAAGTGGGATGCACTAAGGATTGTTAGACAGGCAATTAAATGAAAGGTTGGGTGTTTTGATTAATTTGCAGAAGTGTACAGCGTTCAATGGATTTAGGCCATTACTCTCCAAGATTTCTCATATAATTTTCTGGATAATTATGCCATCTAAGGCTTACAATATTTATACTACTCCTTCCCCTCTTCTCATTGGCCTAATGCCTTAATTGCTCTAACTACTTTTCTTGTCTTCTTGCTAAATTGCTCACATGATGGCTAATAAGCCAAAGACCTACTCTGCACTAAAGAGCCGTTGCTGCTTGGAGAGGAGAGGTGTGTTGAGCCGTCCCCTGCTGCTGTGTTCCTTCTTTTTGTGGTTGCTTTTGTCTTTGTCTCTTACTGTAAGTGAATGTGATTGGTGGTGAGGGTGAGTGCATTGCACTCTCTCTTGCAATAATTCATCCAGTGACTCGACTTGAGTAGACCCCGTACCCACCTTAATTAATTTGGGGGGATCCCTGCCATATAAAACCCAAAAAGGTGACATTTGAGTGGAAGAGTGGACGGACGTGTTATATGAGAACTCAGCCAGCCACTTCGCCCATGCCTTAGGCTGCTCACCAGCGAAGCACATAAGGTATGATTCCAGCCCCTTGTTAACCACCTCCGTTTGGCCGTCGCTTTGTGGATGATACGATGTGCTCCTCCGCAAATCAGTCCCCTGTAGCCAAAATAACTCCTTCCAAAAACTACTCAAAAATACTATTTCTATCCGAAACAATGCTTTCGGGAAAACCGTGTAAACACACCACCTCCTTAACAAATGCTTCCGCCATTGTCACAGCCGAGAACGGGTGGCGCAACCCTACAAAATGCGCATATTTCAACAACCGATCAACCACATTCAATATAGTGTTAATTCCTTTGGACCGTGGAAGACCCTCAATAAAGTCCATTGTGATATCATCCCATACCTTTTCCGGGATTGGCAACAGTTGAAGCAACCCCGCCGGACTACGCTGTGAGTGTTTGTTTCGCTAACAAATATCACAAGCTTGAATGTAATCGGCCACATCTCTCCTCATTCCTTGCCAAAACCACTCCCCTGCTACCCGCAAATATGTCTTCGTCTCTCCACCATCCCCCCCAATCACTGAATCATGGTAAGCCGCCAACAAGGTGGGCTTGATGCTCGAATTTCGAGGTATGACCACCCGCCCCGTATACATCAGACGTTCCCTATCCATAGTGAACCCTGTGGCCCCTCTTCCCTCTTCAACGGCTTCCCTAATTGATTGCAGATCGGCATCCCCTTCGATCTCTTTTTTAGGAATTCCCAATCAGCTCCTTGGGTGGTAACTATGGCCTCTGACTCATCCTCCCCTCTCATTGACAGTGCATCCGCTACCCGGTTAGCCGTTCCGGGTTTGTATTACAACTTAAAATCAAAGCCGATCAATTTTCGGATCCACTTTTGATATCCTATTGCTACCTTGTGCTGCTGTGTGATATGCCTCAAACTCTGTTGGTCACTCCATACCACAAATCGACGCCCCAACAAGTAGTAGCGCCACTTTTGCACCGCTAGACAGACCGCCATTAATTCTTTCTCGTACACAGACTTTGCTCGGCCTCCCGGACCCAAAACCTTACTGAAAAATGTAATTGGCCGGTTGTCTTGCATTAGCACTGCTCCGAGACCATATATCGAAGCGTTTGTTTCGACCACAAAATCCTTGTGAAAGTCGGGCATGGCCAATACAGGAGCTTCTCCCATTGCCAACTTAAGCTCCTCAAATGCCTTCGTAGCTTCCAAAGACCACTTAAAGTTGTCTTTCTTAGGGGGTGGGCTATGTGGGCATATTGGGCTATAAATTTTCTATAGTATCCTGTCAGGCCCAAAAAACCCCTAAGCTCTCTCAAAGTTTTTGGAATGAGCCAAATGATCATGGATCTTACTTTCTCTTGATCCACAGCCACTCCATTCTTAGAGATGATATGGCCTAAATAGGCCACTTCCTCCTTGCCAAACTCACATTTTTTCTTGTTTGCAAATAAGGCATGATCTTTCAACGTAGCCAACACTAAATGCAAATGCTTAACATGATCATTCTTACTAGAGCTATAAACAAGAATATCATAAAAAAACACGAGGACAAATTTTCTCAAGTATGGACGGAATACCTCATTCATAAGCGATTGGAAGGTCGCCGGTGCATTTGTTAGACCGAAAGGAATCACCAAAAATTCATAGTGACCCTCGTGAGTTCGAAACGTCGTCTTGTGAGTGTCTTCGGGTTTCACCAAAATTTGGTGGTAGTCGGCTTTGAGATCAAGTTTAGAGAACACTTGTGCCCCATGTAACTCATCAAGAAGTTCATCGATAACCGGAATGGGATATTTATCCGGCACCGTTTCTTTGTTAAGTGCCCTATAATCCACGCAAAACCTCCAAGAGCCATCTTTTTTCTTGACCAAAAGAACCGAACTTGAAAAGGGGCTAGTGGATGGCTTGATGATTCCCGTGGTCAACATTTCTCCAATAAGCTTTTCTATTTCATTTTTTTGGAATTGTGGATATCGATACGGTCTCACACTAACCGGATTACTTCCTACTTTAAGTACAATGGCATGCTCTCGACCCCTACTTGGAGGTAGTCCCTTAGGACTCTCAAACACACCCGCAAACTCTTCAATTTCACCCTTCAAGAATTCCGGAATGGCTTCTCCTTTCTCTTCCTCCATTCCTTCCATTCGGCTAAATTCTACTAGTATGCCCCCTTTTTCCTTACGCAAGCTTCTCATCATTGCCTTTAAGGTATTCCGGTTCGAGCAAGTGACGGATCACCCTTGATGTGTTCCCTCTTTCCATCCACCGTGAAACTCATCTCTTGAGTCTTCCAATTCGTGAGCACCTCCCCTAGTTTCTCAAGCCATTGAACCCCAAGAATCAAATCGGAATTCCCAAGTTGAAGAGGAAGGAAGTTGTAAACCCCGTATTTTTAAATATTTTATAAATGAAATTTTATTTTATTTATTTGTTATTTTCCGGAATTTAATTTCAAAAGTTTCAAATTATTAATGTAGGTCGAAAATTATTTGAACAAATTATTTTATGCACCTTTATTTTACAATTTATGTCCAACAAACAAGCCTAACCCATTTGTTTACTTAATTGACCCATTATGTTTATGAGGCCCAATATTCCTATTTACCCTACAATTGTCTCCTATAAATACCCTATGAATCCCCAAAAATTTCCCACACAAAAAGGAGAGGAGTTTATTGAAGGTGATTTCTAGTTAGTAAAGTGGCATACCAATTCGTTTGCTCGAGGTACGTACAAGTTACGAAACCTTGCTTGTAGGTGCATGTTTAAGGACGGATCGAGAACTTAGTATCATGTATAGGGATGACTGAGTTAAATTGTTTGGTTATACATTGTGAATTTCATATGATGTGCACTATTTTATATTGCAAGTATTATTTGTGCTCTAATTATGCAAGGTGCGCTTAGAGGCAAAGGTTTGTGATTGGTGTAAAGACTAATTTATTACTCATTCATGATTATGCAAACAGGATGAGTAAAGGAAGAATTCAATTCTTATAAGACGAGGTTAAGATTTTGGGGTGCCTTATGCACTCAAGGTGTTTATACACCGAGGTAGTAAAGAAATAATTAATAAATGTTGTTTGTCACTAATTTAAATTGAGAATTTGCCATGTTTGATTGAATTGTGTTTGGAATGTTTGTATTGTAATGTATATGAGTCGTCACCAAGTCTAAACCTGTAAATCACGTAAAGTGCAAGATGGATGAGCAATAAAACTCTGGAATGGTGCACATCTGGAGTAATGACAATCAGGGGTTGGGGTACATGGGGTATTACCCGTGTACTTTTATTGAGGTCGTTTGATCTACGAGTCTCCTATTTCAAATATTATTTTTCTAAAACTAGGAGTTAGGTGAGATCTCATACTAACTACGGTCACAGAGTCGCGCCCGTGGTCGTTGGATGTTTATTGATGTTTCCGAAAGGAGGCATGGGGTTTTTTCTTTTATTGATGTTCCAAATGGAGCATGGGTTGGACAACCTTGTCTATTGCGTAATCCAATGAATAAAAATAATGATTTACCTATTATTAATTAATGGAGTCTTAGTAATATAAATAGTTGAGTCGTGTGTTGAGTTTATAATTTAATGATGCATGATGATTGATTATTAGTAGCATGTTATGGATTTCTTATTTGTTTCGCGGCTTGTATGTACTCAGCTTTGCTGATTGCGTGCTTTTGTGTGTGTTTTTCTTTGGTCACGGCCTTCGCCTTTCAATGACCCTGTGACGATCCAATTTTTACACTTGTAATATTGGGGAGCAAATTAACCACAGGTTCTTACATACGCAGCATTCGCATCAGGGTTGTGGGATTTTGAGTAGAGAGTTGGTTATTATTCGCAGTTTATTTCTTTTCATAAGTTTGAATTTATTTAAACTATGGTTTTATTTATTTATTACTTTTGTGGGATTTTGAAAAAGGGCCTTAAGGGTTCCAAGATGTAAGATTTAATTTGGTTGTTGGTTTTGAAACTTATATATACTTGATTTAGTTTTCCGCTACTATTTTCTGAAAAAGCCTTAACGTTTGAACACGTGGCGGTAGCACGCCAGTAATTTTCTTGGATTTTGTTCAGGGTATTTACAGAGAGAATTATTGGGGTGTTACAGAAGTCCTCAACTATTACTACTCCTTCTTCCAACTCAAGTTGCACTCCTACACACGAACCTCGACCCTTCACGGTTTCACCATTGCCAAGAGATACTCCAAAGGACCCACTTCCTACTACCAGTATGCCCAATTGCTCAACCATGTGCAAGGATATAAAGTTGTGAGTTGCCCCCGGATTGATCATCATTACCACCTTTTCACCCTTGATTTTTCCGGTCAATTTCATGGTCTTAGGATTAGTTATCCCGGCTAATGAAATCATTGAGACCGCTGCTGGAATTTCCTCCGTCTCCTTGGTTGGGGAAGCTTCTAAGGACGCGAACTCATGGTCATGCTCTTCCTCCTCACTCCCCTCCTCATCTACCAACAACACACTAAATTCTTTGGCTCGACACATGTGATTGAAATCCCACTTTCCATCACATTTGAAATATAAGTGTTTCAAGGATAAAATAATTTTATCCAATTTTCCCACACAAAATGCAAGAGAAAACTCAAAATAGGAGAAACTTACCATCCACGATATTATGAGCAAGAAATGATTTTTCTTGCATCTGCAAGTGATTATGCTTGCATAAGAAATCACTTGGTAATAGAATATGTATGCTTCTACTTTCAGCATACCTCACTATTTCTAGAGCCTCTTTGACTCCTTCATGTTCAACCAAATATAAGGGAACAGGCTTTCCCATGACATGCATAATTTGTAGCGCCATCATCCCCACAAAAACTAAACCATCACATTTAGATGCTAAAACACGCAAGGCTTTTACTTTGTCCTTAATATTTACTCCTCCTACCTATACCAAATGATGAAACATTAATCAATGTTAGTAATTATGACTTGCCGTGAAATAAGCAGCATAACTGAATAAAACAAAATAGATATTAAAAAGTAAATAGTAGGGAATACCACTGCAACACTGGGACTCAGTTCACATTCTGGAATTGTCTTCAATTTGGCCAAACACTCTTCAAAATAAAACCCAGCTAGGCAAGCATAACAAAACTGGGTAACTCCAACAGTTGATGCAAGAATTTTGTGAGCTGTTGAAAACGAATCGTTGACAAAAATATCTATCCCGGAAGCTAATCTCCTAGCAAATTCTGAGTTGTTGGCAAGTTCTTGTTTGTAGTTTGAAAGATTTTCAAGAAGAATGATATCTACTTCCTCAACTTTCTCCAAATTTGGCTGCTGGTGTTCATAAAAGCATTGACTAGGGAGAACCTTCAATTTGAGCACTGATGAAAGGAATTCTGCTAATGAACAAATGCAACAGGAAATAAATTAGCATCTCTTCTATTAAAAGTGGGCTAATAAGAGCCAACTTGTGAAATTATTTTTATGGCCTCAGTTTATACTAGTGATAAACTGATAAACTTTCCCTGAACTACTAAAGAGCTACTAAACTACAACCACACTCCTCACCAAAAGCCACAATGTTACTTTCCTTGAAGCAGAAAAGCTTACTCAAAAGTACTTTAGTGCTACACAATCAAATCAACAAGCTGCAAATCAGAAAGCTGTAGAAAATAACAACCAGAGTCATACCTGCAACAGTCTCTTCAGATAAAACCTTGGAGTTGCATTTGATTGTCCAACTACTAGCCAAAACTACCTTTGCTACGGCTTCATATATGTATTTAATAGTTAATAGTGCATTGGAAATTTTTGAGACAGATTCGTCCAGATCCTGGTGAAGCAGGATGGAAGAATCAAATCTGACCATGACAACTTTTGCAGAAAGCTCCTCTTTAGGGAATCTTTGAAGAGTTTGTATAGGTGGAAAGCCTTTCTCCCTGTCATGATCTTTGGCCTATGTACAAAAAAGAATTTAAATCTAATCCAAGTCAACTTACAAGGCATTGTAATTAGAGTTCAAGCTTTATAAATGCAGCTAGGGATGATGAAGAACCTAAGCAAGCTACTCAAGATTGCCTAGCACCATCATAATCTTATAAGAAAAAAAACATAAATAAAACCATTTACCATCTTGTATTTGTTTTAGAAGTTCTTATTTTACATGAGCTTACACATTGTAAAGTGCACAGTCCTAGGCTACCACAGTAATTATGTGTAGGTTTAATCAGGCCCATAGAACACAGTAATCTAGGTCACCAAGCAGGATGAATACTATATGTTAGCGTCCTGAAATTCTTTGGCCCTGAATCAAGGTATTCAGGAGGAACAGGTTGTTCCAGCTCGATACCGTCAAGAATTCCT